AAACATAGAGCTACCCGACAACCCAGCAATTGCACTACTAGGTATTTACCCCAAAGATACAAATGTAGTAAAAAGAAGGGGCACATGCACCCCAGTGTTCATAGCAGCAATGTCCACAATAGCCAAACTGTGGAAGGAGCCCAGATGTCCTTCAACAGATGAATGGATAAAGAAGATGTGGTTCATATATACAATGGAATATTACTCAGCCATCAGAAAAGATGAATATCTACCATTTACATCGACATGGATGGAACTAAAGGGTATTATGGTAGGTGAAATAAGTCAATCAGAGAAGAAAAACAATTATCATATGGTTTCAGTCATATGTGGAACATAAGGAATAGCATGGAGGACAATAGGGAAAGGGAGGGAAAACTAAAGGGGAAGAAATAAGAGAGGGAAACAAACCATATGAGACTCTTGACTCTGGAAAACAGACAGTTGCAGAAGGAGGTTGGGTGGGGAAAAGGGTAACTTGGTGATGGGCATTAAGAAGGGCATGTGATGGGCACCTGGGTGGCTCAGTTGGTTGGGCGACTGCCTTCGGCTCAGGTCATGGTCCTGGAGTCCCAGGATCGAGTCCCACATCAGGCTCTCTGCTTCTCCCTCTGACTCTCTTCCCTCTCGTGCTCTCTCTCATTCTCTCTTTCTCAAATAAATAAATAAAATCTTAAAAAAAAAAAAAAAAAGAAGGGCATGTGATGTGATGAGCACTGGGTGTTATACGCAACTAATGAATCACTGAACATTATATTAAAAACTAATGATGTACTATTTGTTGGCTAATTGAATTTAAATAAAAAATAAAATGTAGATGATAAAAAATAAAAAATAAAAGGGAAATGAAAGTCAAGTCTATAATTGCTAAACAAAATATTAGAGAACAAAACAAAAAAAGGAAAGTGCTATCAAAATATCAAACAATATTAAAGGGTAGTACAATGTGATCAAATAGACTCATTCTAGAAAAGCAAGATTCATTTAGCATTCAAAACTCTACTTAAGCAATTAACCGTACCTACAGAACATATGATCATTTCAGTGGAGGCAGAAATATCATTGTATAAACTTAAAAATCGATTCATGATAAAAAGGGAAAATTTTTGGCAAACTATGAATAGAAGGACATTTACTTAATCTGTTAATATGTCTTCAAAACACTTACACCAAACATGCTTAATGTTAAAATCTTAAAATCCTTCTCCTTGAGATTGGGAGGAAGATGGAGGAAGGAGCCACAAACCAAGGCATGTGATTGGCCTCTAGAAGCTGGGAATGGGGGTGCCTGGGTGTTGCAGTCAGTTAAGTGTCTGACTCTTGGTTTTGGCTCAGGTCATGATCTCAGGGTCATGAGATTAAGCCTCAGTCCGGCTCCACACTCAGCACAGAGTCTGCTTTGGATTCTCTTTCCCTCTCCCTCTGCCCCTCCTGCCCATGCTTGCTCTCTCTCTCTCTCTCTCAAATAAATAGATAAATCTTAAAAGAAGAAGAAGAAGCTGAGAATGGCCCTCAACTCATAACCAGCAAGAAAAGGGAGACCTTGGTCCTACAACTTGTTGAATCCTGCCAACAAGCTGAATGAACAGGAAACAGCTTCTCCCCTGGAGCCTCCAGAAAGAAATGCAGCCCTGCTAACACCTTGAGTTTAGCCTGGTGAGACCTGTATTAAACTTCTGACTCCTTACAGAACTGAAAGAGAATAAATTTGTGTTGTCTTAAGCCACCAAGTGATTTGTTACAACAGTAATTGAAAATTAATACAACAGAGCAAACAAAAAACAAGACATGTTCAACTACAGTCCACCCCTTGGCTCCTGAGTATGCATGCATGCGTGCATGCATGTATATGCACACACACACCCTTTCCCTAACTGATAATTCCAAAGATGACTGCACTTATCATAATGCAACAATCCTTCTTTCAATCATAAAAGTACTCCTCCTCTTCCCTTGGGAGATGGCTCAGGACTGGATCCAAGTAGATCATACTGCAACAAGCCGAAGACCTGGAGGTACTGTCCACGCATCATGGAAGATGAAAATGTTGAGTTTCATGATCTTGCAACCTCTAGGTGCTACGGATTTAACAGTTACCCAGATACCTAACCTAATCAAGGGGGAAAATAAAACAATCAGAATAAAAACTCTTTCAGAAAAGGTAACATAAATCCAGTCATCAGTGGTCTGAATAACACATCATGCCCCTCTGGGTAGGGAGGAAGTGAGGTCCTGATCAATGGACAACTTGGTTGGCTGGGTTCCACCTGCATGGAAGATTTGGTTTCTGCTCCCTTCTGTTCTCTGTGGCCTTGCCTGAGAGGGGTGTTGGGAAGGGTTATAGCCTGGGGACAACATTCTGAGGGTGGAGGTAACCATCCTGGAGGGGACTGAACAGTAAGAGTCTCCTGAGGCAGGTCACCCTCTGCTGATACCATCTCAAACACTGTTTTGATGCCAACTGATTTATTTCCTGAGTCCTGCCATGACAATCGCCCCTGTCTCTATGACTTTAGTCAGTGGCTTCTGGGCCAGCCCTCCTCTCTGCCTCCAAGCAGTGGGAACAAAGAACTAAGGTATCCAACCATTCCCAGAACTCTGCTCAGGCCCCAGGTCACAACCACACCCAGATTTATGGCAGATGCAGAGGTGCAGAGAGGCAGGTCAGAACCTTCAACAGCAGCAGGCATAGCAAGAGGGGCTTAGGGTCCAGGATCCCCCTGATCCTCCAGGCTATCACATCCCAGCTTCCAGAATACCACAGTTTGATGGTCCCCTCCCTAACTCTGCCATAGGGCAAATAATTCAGCTTTTGCAATTCAAGAAGGTCGACAATTGCTGAATTTTAAGTGGCCCTGGTCCCTGGCCACAGGCAGAGTGCATTTCTTAAATCTCAGGATACTTTTCCAGCTGACAGCCTTCTGCCCTCAAATCAGCAGGACTGAAACCAAATATATCAGTCTTGTACCGCCTCACTGATGGCCTCAATAAAGAGCTAACAAACCCTAAAAACGTTGGCTCCTCCACCAAGAGTGCCAGGCCCCAAGACCCAGCACCCTTGCTGAATAATGAACATAGCATGTCCAATCATAAAATGAAACACACATCCTGGTTCTTTTAGGAAGCCTATCTACACCCCGTATCTAATTAATTATTACTAAGTTTTCCTTGTTATAAAGTCCAAAGAAAGGGGCCTAGTTTGATATTCACATTATCTACCTCATCTGTTTTTTAAAAATAGGCAGAGAAAAAACACTGGAGGACACCACAGACGGGGAAGTTAGGCGACACCATGTGAACTCAAGTGGTTCTAGGAATAAAGATGCCACTGAATCAGAAGCAGAAGTTTTACAAGTCTTTTTTGAGGAAAGATTGTAAAGGACTTAGAGACCCCTTTTCAGCACCCCTCACATTAGAGAGAAAGAGGCTGCCATGTACCAATTCCCGGACCTGCTGAGGGATCGGCAGGTAGAGGGATCGGCAGGGGGAGGCCATGAAACACATTCCCAGATTTTGCAGGAATTGGCCTTTCTCTCACCTGGAAGAAAGGGAAGAAGGAGAAGCAGAGAGAGCGAGAGAGAGAAACCGGGGAAGAAGAGCCAGTCTCTGTGGCATCACCGTGACTTTCTGACTTGTTTGGGGGTATCCAGCTATGGCTGTGGAGGGGCTGCACCCGCACGGCTGGTCCTGGGGGGCGGGGCACGAGAGCCCTTTCCCGCCAACCTCATCTCCTCGGCCCGATGGCTAAACACCTCCCACTGCAGTTCAGAGTTTGCTGAGGCGGCTTTGGGAAACTTGAGTGCTGTTTTGAAGTCTGCAACAGCCTGGCTGGAAGGTGCTCTCAAGACTGGGACTCAGTGTTTCTGCCTCCGCTGCTCTAATCAACTTGATAAAAAGCAAAGCAGGAGTCTGATGCTGATATGAACATACTTAGATGCCTATTACGCTTTCTGAAGAATCTAGAGTCACTAATGAATTTTATTACTGTTTTTTTTTTAAGTGTCCTTGATTATTTTCCATTTTATGGTCAGTTAAAGAAAATAAAAGCACTTCTTGTTCTCATCCCTATGCCAAAGTGAGTAGTTGAAGGTCCTAAAACAGGGGCCCTGGGATGACCTAAACATCAAGGCAGCTCCGCCCTGGGAGCTTCCCGGGAGAACCACATCTCACCTGTCACCCCTGAGCGCAGGAAGCCCGGAGGGATTTCCATTACTTGCATAATACCTGGCCCACAAAAACATCGGAAGCATCACACACACGCGCGCGCGCGCAGCCAGTAAGATGAAGTATAAAGGCTCCTGGGCACAGACATGCTCACCCACAGAGGCCTTGGCTTCAGGGGTCTAATGTCAGCCAGTGGCCACGGATGATCTGGAATAGACCATCCGGGCAGGCGGGGTCTGGGCGGCCCGGCGGGCGGGTCCCTCTGTTTGCACGGACCGCAGGTTGCAAGGGGCTCTTCGCTCCCCGAGTTTGCGCCCCTGCAACGTGTCTCTCCTTGGAGACCTCCCTTCCCAGAGAGCGCGTTCCCGGGCGCTGACGCCGCGTGTCGAGGGAGTCCGTCTGGGGTCCGGCTTTACTGCGCAAAGGACCCGCGAAGGGGAAGCGCGGCGCGTGGGGACGAGGACTTCTCCCGACTCCCCCCGGGGGCTCGTTCGCGGAAGCGAGCGCTTTCCACTTGGGCTGTGTCGCGCCGACTCGCCACCTGCGTGTGTCGCACACACCTGCCGATGAGGAAACCTGCGTTTGTCTGCACACAGGACCCCCAGAGGAAAACTGGCTAATCGTGCGCCGCGGGGCTCGTACTGAGTGTGAGGCGGACGCTCCTCGCCCCGACCCCCGCCCCTAGCGCTCGGGTTCTGGAAACCGGTCGGGACGGACCTGTCCGGGTGTGGCGAGCCGAACCGGCAGGCAGCCCTCCGGGCGGGGGCGCCCCTTCCCAGGCGCTGGGCGGCTACGCCCCGGGCCCGCGCCCCTTTGTGCGGCCTCGGGCGGGCACCATGCTGTCCACCGCGGGCACGTATGCGGTGAAGAAGAGGAAAAAGCCGGTGCGAAGGAGGTACTGGGGTGCAGGGGCGCGGGCTGCGCGGGGCCGCGAGTGTGGGGTGGGAGTCCCGTGTCTGCGGCACCCAAGCCCTTCCCGCGGCCGGAGCTCCGCGGGATCCAACGCCGAGGGTACTGGCCTGGGGAGGATGGAATGCAATGCCAAGATTCCCCCGTCCCACCCCGGAAATCTCTCTGGGGGCCTTGCTCAGGCCTGGGGGAGCGGGATGCTGATGGCGATTGCTGTCTGAGAAGGGCGCGCGGGGGTCTCCCGGGTCCACAGGCCCGGGACCGCGAAGCACACGCGGGCCGGGGTAGGGGTCCCGAGTCACAGCGGGGGACTGGAAGGGAAAGACCTTGCGTGGTCCCCCACCCCCACTTATAGACGGGATGCCGAGGCCCCGCGGGGTTGAGGACCCACTGGCCGGCCTTGACCCCTCTGATCCCGGGCAGGGTCCCTTCCACGTTCCTAAGACCTGGCCCAAGAGATCTGTGTGGCCCCTCGGGCTCAGCCGACGTTCCTGAGGACAACAAATCAGAAGTCCTGTAGAGAGGACACTCCTTAGGCAGAGTCCTTGGGCCAAATATCTAAGGGTCTTCGCGTGGCCGGGAGAGGCTGGGGCGGGGCCGGGGAGCTGCAGGACACCTGGCAGCAAGGGCGGCGGAGACGCTCCCACCCCCTCCCCACCCCCCCGCCTCCCGCAGACCCAGGCCTGGCGTCAACCGGTCTTCAGAGGGCTTCCTCAGGGACGCGGAGACCCCGGAGCCTGGCGGCACAACCCCCAGGGGCGCAGGGTTCCCAGCGCATGGGGGCGGCTTTGTGAGAAATTTCCAAAACCTCTCAAAATATCAGTTATAATTCCATGTCATTTTAAAATACATAAAATGCCATGATGGAAGCCATGCGCAAAAGGGCAAATAGCCCATGATACCATTTATATGAAATGCCCAGAATAGGTAAGCCAGAAAGTAGGTCCGTGGTGGCAAGGGCGAGGGAGAGGGGGAGTGACTGCTAATGGGTTAGGGGTTTCCCTTGGGGAGATGAAAAAGTTCTGGAACCAGATAGTGGTGATGCTTATACAACATCCTGAGTGTACTTAATGCCACTGAATGGTACACTTTAAAAATGGTTAAAATGGTAAAATTTATGGTGTGTGTATTTTACCACAATAATATATATATACCATGACACTTCTCAGTAGGGATACATAGGTATCCCAGAACTAAGCTCATCAGAAGTTATTTTTCCAGGGCAGTGAAACCAGTCATCGTTGGATAATTGAAAACGATGTTTAAAATGGGGTGGGGGGTCTCTAAGAGTATTACATATACTGTACACTTTAAGTGAGAACATCAACATATACCAATTTGCCAATCTTGTTCTGCTGATTCAAATCCAGGTGTTGGTAGCATCACTCTGTTCTACAGACCTCCTCAAGGCTCTGTTTCAAGGCAGTTTATGAAGATTTAACAAATGAATCCACCCAAAGTCCTTTGAAGTTAGTTACATCCTCCAGCGCCCTAATTTTTACAAATGTAAAATGAAATTGTCCACATTTCTGCATAGTACAATGACAGGGACACACAGACTAACACTGTTAGCAAACTACACAAAGCTGGCACAAGGTTCTACACCATGGCATCTATGTGTTTTCATTGATCCTCAGGCAGCCTAGGAGGTAGAGATTTCTGTTACCATCCCCTCTTAGGGCTGAGGCAACGAGGCTGGGTGGTGAGGAGGATACCCACCTTACCTGCCGCCTCATTTGAACCTGGCCCCTCTCTGTGGCTTGTTGAAAGAGGCTGGGATCCTGCTGGAGAAGACCAGGGCAGACCTCGTGGTAGAGGGTCACCTTGTGAGCAGGCTGCAAGAAGCCTTGGGCGGGGGGGGGGGGGGGGGGGGGGGGGGGGGGGGGGGGGGGGTCGGTGCTGAGTTATTGAGCCCCCTCTTCACCCACTTGGCTGGCTGGTCCCCCCAGTTTGGGCCATTATGAATAAAGTGCTATAAATAGTCCTTTGCAGACATGTTTTCATTTCGTTCCAGTAAGTACCTAGGAGTGGAATTGCTAGGTCGTGTTTAACATTTTAAGAAACTGAAAGTTTTCCAGTGAATGAGGGTTCCAGTTACTCCAAATCCCCTCCAACACTTGGTGTTGTCACTCTTTTGAATTTTAACCATTTTAATATATGTGTACAAGTGATTTATTTTAATTTGCATTTTCTGATGAATTATGGTTCCTGTGATCTCATATGCTTTTTGGCCATTAGTATATTTTCTTTAGTGAAGTATCTATTCAAATTATTTACCCATTCTAATTGGTTAGTAAAAGTCCTTCATGTATTCTGGATACAATTCTTTTTTCAGCTACATGTACTGCAGATATTCTTTCCCATTCTGTGGCTTGCCTTTTCGGTTTCTGAATTTTGTTGAAGTCCAGTTTATCAGTCTTTTTTGTTATGGTTAGTGCTTTTGGTGACCCATCTAAGAAATCTTGGCATATTGCAGGGTCATAAAGATTTTCTGCTTTTAATGTCTGTAGGATCTATAACTATCTCCCTTCTTTCCCTACTGTTGGTAATTTGCATTTTCTTTTTGAGGGGAATTGATTACTCTAGCTAGATGACTATCAATTTCATTGATATTTTCAGTTTTGGGTTTCATTTATTTCCTCCATTTTCTGTTTCATTGTTCTGCTTTCACTTGATTATTTCCTTCCTTCTACATGCTTTGGGCTTAGCTTACTCTTGTGTTTCTATCTTCTTAAGGAGGAAACTCAGATAATTTACTGTAAAACTTTTCTCCTTTACTTACATAATCTTCCCTCTACACAATCCTTTCTGTACCCCACAAATTTTGGCATTTTGTCCTTCATTACCATTTAGATATTTTATTTCCCTTGTGATTTCTTCTTTGGTCCATGAATTATTTTAAAATACATTAATTTTCACATATTTGAGGATTTTTCAGATACCTTTTTTTTGTTGTTACTGATTCCTAAACATCATTGTGGTCTGAGAACGTACTCTGTATGATTTCAATCTATTTAAATGTATTGAGTTATTTTATGGCCCAGCATATGGTCTCCCTTGGTGAATTTCTACATGTGCATGAAAAGAATCGTTATTCTGCAGTTGTTGGGTATAGTGTTTTATAAATGTCAATCATTTATAAAACCCAAGTTAGAGGACAGGGTTCATGTCTTATACATACTTAAAAATTTTCTAACAATCTGTCCTATTAGTTACTGAGAGAACAGTGCAGAAGTCCCCAACTCCAGTTATGGATTTGTCTATTTCTCCTTGCAATTATGTCAGTTCTTGCTTCACATATTTTGAAACTCTGTTATTAAATGCATATGATAGTTAATATTTTTTAACATTTTTGATATTGTGAAAATGTCTCTCTTTATCTTTGGTGAGTCTTCTCTGTCTGATAATATAACCACTCAGCCCCTCCAGCTTTCTTATGTCTAATGTGTACATAGTGTGTCTTTTTCAACCCTTTTACTTTAATCTATCTGTGTCTTTACCTTTAAATTGTGTTTCTTCCAGACACCATATATCAGGTTTTGTTTTTTGGGCCAGTCTGATAGTCTCTGCTTGTTTACATTTTTGTAATTATCAATATGGTTGAGTTTAAGTCTGCCATCTTGCTGTTTTCTATTTGTTCCATCTGTTGTCATTTTTCCTCTTTTCCTTCCTTCCATTGGATTTAATTCTTTTTTAGTATCTCATGTATCTCCTTTTGTGGCTTATTAGCTGTACTTGTTTTATTTTTTCAGTGGTTACTATAAGACTTACAATGCACATCTTAACTTATTACTGTCTACTTTCAAATAATATTAAACTAGGGGCACCTGGGTGGCTCAGTTGGTTAAGCGACTGCCTTCAGCTCAGGTCATGATCCTGGAGTCCCGGGATCGAGTCCCGCATCGGGCTCCCTGCTCAGCAGGGAGTCTGCTTCTCCCTCTGACCCTCCCCCCTCTCATGCTCTGTCTCTCTCATTCTCTCTCTCTCAAATAAATAAATAAAATCTTTAAAAATAATAATAATAATAATATTAAACTACTTCATGGAAAACTTAAGCACCTCACAACAATATAATTCCACTGCCCTTCCCATCCTTTGTGCTGTTGTTTTCACAAATTTTACTCTATATATGTTGCAAACCCCATGATGCAACACTGCTATTTTTATTTATGCAATTATCATTTAAACAAATTAAAATCATTAAAATTTTAGTGCCTATTGTTCATTCATTCATGGAGATCCACATTTCTATCTAGTATCATTTTTCTTCAGCTCGAAGAAACTTCTTTAATATTTTTGTAGCTCAGATCTTCATGAGCCACATTCTTTGAGTTTTTGTTTGTTTGAAAATGTCTTTGCCCTCATTTTTGTTTGTTTTTGTGTGTGTGTGTGTGTTAATTTTTTTATTAACATATAATGTATTATTTGTTTCAGGGGTACAGGTCTGTGATTCATCAGTATTACACAATTCACAGCGCTGACCATAGTACTTACCCTCCCCAATGTCCTTCACCCAGCCACCCCATCCCTCCCAAGCCCCTCCACTCCACCAACCCTCAGTTTGTTTCCTGAGATTAAGAGTCTCTGATGGTTTGTCTCCCTCTCTGGTTTCGTCTTGTTTCATTTTTCCCTCCCCTCCCCTATGATCCTCTGTCTTGTTTCTCAGAGTCCTCATATCAGTGAGATCATATGATAATTGTCTTTCTCTGATAGACTTAATTTCACTTAGCATAATACCCTCTAGTTCCATCCACATCGTTGCAAATGGCAAGATTTCATTTTCTTGATGGCTGCATAATATTCCATTGTGTATATATACCACATCTTCTTTATCCATTCATCTGTTGATGGACATCTAGGCTCTTTCCATAGTTTGGATATTGTGGACATTGCTGCTATAAACATTGGGGTGCATGTGCCCCTTCGGATCACTACATTTGTATCTTTGGGTAAACACCCAGTAGTGCAATTGCTGGGTTGTAGGGTAGCTATATTTTTAATTTTTTGAGGAACCTTCATACTGTTTTCCAGAGTGGCTGCACCAGCTTGCATTCCCACCAACAGTGTAGGAGGGTTCCCCTTTCTCCACAACCTCTCCAACATCTGTCATTTCCTGCCTTGTTAATTTTAGCCATTCTGACTGGTGTGAGGTGGTATCTCATTGAGGTTTTGATTTGGATTTCCCTGATGCCGAGATCTTGGTGTGTCATTTGCAAATATCTTTTCCCATTCTGTCAGTTGTCTTTTGATTTTGTTGACTGTTTCCTTTGCTGTGCAAAAGCTTTTTATCTTGATGACGTCCCCATAGTTCATTTTTGCCCTTGCTTCCCTTGCCTTCAGTGATGTTTCTATGAAGAAGTTGCTGCAGCTGAAGTCGAAGAGGTTGCTGCCTGTGTTCTCCTCAAGGATTTTGATGGATTCCTGTCTCACATTGAGGTCTTTCATCCATTTTGAGTCTATTTTTCTGTGTGATGTAAGAAAATGGTCCAGTTTCGTTCTTCTGCATGTGGCTGTCCAATTTTCCCAACACCATTTGTTGAAGAGACTGTGTTTTTTCCACTGGACATTCTTTCCTGCTTTGTCGAAGATGAATTGACCATAGAGCTGAGGGTCCATTTCTGGGCTCGCTATTCTGTTCCATTGATCTATGTGTCTGTTTTTGTGCCAGTACCATACTGTCTTAATGATGACAGCTTTGTAATAGAGCTTGAAGTCCAGAATTGTGATGCCGCCAGCTTTGCTTTGCTTTTTCAACATTCCCCTGGTGATTCAGTTTATCAATCTTTTTAT